TTCAGTCTCATAAGTTTTGAATGAGCATTCATAGAAGAAACAGCTATACAAAAAGAAAAGTGAAACAGGTCCATAGTACATTATGAGAAGTGTATGGACATAATTTTTAGAATTAACTTAAGGTAAATTACCTCTATGACATCACTGTAAGCATCTCTGATACACCTAATATTACACATGGAGGGTGTTTTCTACATACCAATTGTGCTATTAAATAGATTTAGAACCTACTGGCACTATGACCAGAAAATCCATCTGTCTTGCTGGGGGAAGATACCAGTCACCAGTTATGACATGTAAGCTGAGGGTGCAGGCCACAGTGGGGTCATTGCTACACACTCTAAGAATATTTTCTACCTGAAGTTATGTATAAGTGATAGACAGTTTCAGAGAGAACATTTTCTATTCCAATGTCTACTGGATTGAATAGAATTTTGGAATGTGACCTTATTTGGAAATGGGGTCATTGCAGATGTAATGAGTTACAAGAAGGTCAAACTGGAGAAGGGTGGGTTCTCAACCCAATACGACTGTTGTTCTTATAAAAAGAGAGCCATGTGAGGCAGACATGCATGGAGAGAAGATGGCCACGTGATGATGGAGGCAGAAAAGGGAGCGATGTGTCTACAAGCCAAAGAATGCCAAGGAGAGCTGGCGACCAGAAGCTATGAGAAAGGCATGGGGCATATTCCCTTCTAGAGCCTTCAGAGGGAGCACGGCTGACACCTTGAATTTGGACTTCCAGCCTCCAGAAATGTGAGGCAATGAATCTGTGTTAAATAACCCACTTTGTGATACTTTGTTATAGCAGCCACAGTAAGCTAATATATCATGTTAACTTATGTATTAACTTATGTATTCTGACTTCCAGGCTTATGTATTAACTTATGTATTCTGACTTCCAGGATAAAGGTATGTTCTTCCAAGAACATCTCAAATATACCTAAGATGTCCTAACAGAGCTTACAATAAAATCTTGCCTCTTGAGGCAAGTTGTAGAAGTTTTTAGTGCTTAGTTTGAAAGCTTTTTGTGGGTCGTCTTATGTGAGTACACTGTGTGAACACTCTAGTCTTAAGTCTGATCCTTGAACCAAATTTTCCTCTGGGCATGTGCTCTGGCTCACATGTCCCCCCAGAGTCACTGGGTGACTCTGAACCCTCTCTCCAGCGAGAGATTCCTCTCAGCAGCCTGGTGGTAGGCGCTGGCTGATTTCCAGTTCGGAGGAACTAGGCCTTCGTCCTTCCCCAGAACAGTCTGTGGAAGCGCCTATCCCATCCCCTGGGGTGTGACACTGGCTGTTGCTGAGATGGCCCTTTAACTCTGCGCGCCGGCAGGACCACAGCTGCGCTGGTGCTGAATCTCCGCAGCAAGCAAGGCGTGGCCTGGCCCGGTGACACAGCCCTGCTCACGTCAGCTCCGTGAGATCACTCCCCCATCCAGTTTCTTCAGTGATACATCACTGGCCTCTGAAACCAAGGGCCGAAGTTACAAAACAACGTTTGTAACTGGTTCTTCATGTTGCAACCCCAGGATCACGGGACAGTGGTTCTCGTTCATCTCCTGATAATACTGTTCTTATTCTTTCACCACCATCCTGGAGAAATGCAGAATGTTCCCCATATTCTACCCTTATTTTTATATCTTTATCAGCTCACCTGGGACACCTGCCCACTTTCTCTCCCACCAGGAATAGAATCAAGATGCAATTGTGTCCAAGAACTGCCACCACCTGGAGAGGCAGCAACGTGGCTGGCTGGGCTGTCCACATGCCACGGTCCCATTCGCACCTGTCAGTAGCAGCTCTGCCCTGGAGAACTCGCTGTCCCTCTCACTCGTGAACCTTCCTCGTAGCTCAATTAGCCAAATGAGCAATCCCCCTGTCTATTCTGTTTTTCAGTAGCTCAAAGAGCAGCAGGAAAATTATTAATAAAAAATTCAAAGTAAACAAAAAATGGAGTGATTCCACTTCAGGACATTCATAGAGGAGTTAAGGGCTTTGCAAAAAATTAGGCATCCTGTAATACTTTACTGGCCTCAGCGTGGACAATGGTGCTTATGGGCTTGTATTCCAGTGCCCTGAGGATATAAGTTTCTTCAAAGCAGAATTATTTTATTCTCTTACATGGTGAATTAATACATACATAAATAAGTGATTTAAGCCCACTCCCTGGTAGCCTGGCCCACATTGATTCATCACTCCTGTTCTTTTCCACCTTACCTTAGTCTTTTCAAGTGAATTTTCAAATTCTAGCTACTAATTTACCCCAAACTTGATCATCATGCACAAGCCAGGGGCCAGACTGAAGTAGACCCTGCCGCAACCTCTTTATGGGGGGCACAGTAGCAATATCTGGACATAGATGAGGGTCAAGAAAAAGAGAACCTGTCACTGAGTCATCTAGAGCCGTAGTCCTCCAAGTGTGGTCGTGGCCCCAGCAGCACCGCCACCCGGGAACCTGTGTAAATGCTCATCCTTGAGCCCTGCCGAAGCAGAGACTCCGGAGGCAGGGCCCAGCAACCTGCCAGAGTAAGTCCTCACCCACGTGACACTCATGCACCTCAAAGTCTGAAGACCACTGACGTAGAGTAATGTCAACCTGAGAGAACCAAGAATCATAAGTTCTCTCCTCTTGCTGCCTGGGAGGAAGAAGGTTTTCCCAAGGGTCAGATGCCCGAGGGCCCCGCTGGCAGGGAGCAACCTCAGCCTCTTACAGCCTGTAACAGGAATGCCAGCTTCCCTGGGACATCAGCAATGTTCTTTCCTTCACTCAAGAGCTTCTAGGAGGAAAGAAGGTGCAAGGACTTTAAACGGCCAGCTATGTGACACCTTCAGGGGTATTCCAGCATTCCTGCTCAGGCAGGAAGCCGATTTGAAAACTCATCAGCCTCTCATGCCCAGCTGGCAGGAGGCTGGTGTGGGGGTGGGTGGTCAGGAATATAATAAAGTATCCTTTATTATGTGAATGAATATCTTAAATCAGCCCAGAGGCCCTAGCAGGAGGAGGCAAGAGATGGCTTCATAGCACTTGAAGCCTCCTCATACTTAACGTTCAAGGTCAAAATGTGGCAAATGGCAGAGAAGAGTCTATAGTTTTCCAGGACAAAAGATGGGGACTAACTTGTGCAAGCAAGAACCTTAGCATAGACTTTTGCTCAGCTCTGGCTAAGGGAGAGGAGAGACAGCAAATACTCAAAATCTTCAGTGCAGGCAACCCCAGTCCACAAAGGCCTCACTTGAGAGGCTCTCTGCCATTCCAAAACCCAGTCCACAAGAGAGCCCTGGGGAAACTGGTCTCTTTTCCACACTGACTCTGATAAGCACACCCAGACTTTAAAGCAAAGGTCAACAAACCATGGCTCATGGGCCAAATCAGGCCCACAGCCTGTTTTTGTATGGCTTCAAGCTAAGAATGGTTTCTCAGAACATTTTCAAACAATAGAAAAAACAATTTTTAAAGACTATTTTGTGACACATGAAATGTACATAAAGTTTAATTTCCATGCCCATAAACAAAGTTTTATTGGAACACAGCTCCATCCAATTGTTTACAAATTTTGAACTGTAAGGGCAGAGTTGAGTAGTTGCCCTAGAGACTGCATAGTCTCCTAAGCTGACACTATTTGCTCTCTGGCCCTTTACATTAATGGTTTGTCAATCCTTCTTTAAAGCAAAGGGTTTGCAGTTCACAATCTCAGCAAACACTGTAGCCAGGGTTAGTATGCACTGTCATGCCCAAAGCAACTTTTTTGCCAAAATAAACTTCTTAGTTCATTCCACTGATTCTTGTTCTGTAAGTTCCTGAGTCCTAGACATGCCTTCATGGTACACTTCTGACTCTCGTGCCATCCCTCCCTTTCCTATTGTCCTAATTCTGCCCCGCCATGCCCAGAGTGAGTGAAAGAAGCTAGCGTGAAAATTAGCTGCAATTACACAGGAGACAAAATCAGCCCAAAGCAGTGTTTCTCTAAGAACCATTGCCTTGCTTCTTGCCCTCCTTGCCTTCACCAACCATTCCATATGCTGTCCCAGCAGTCACGAGGGGATCTGAAATAGTTCTGAAAGAATCTTTTCTTAAGAGGGAAAGTTACTGGGCCTGTTCTGTTGAAAAGCATTTTCTAATCATTTGCTTCACTTACAAACTAAACCTAGACTGGAAATTAAGGACTTGAGTAAACATAAAATGGGTGTCTGAATATAAACTTTTTGTTGCTAGTTGCATGCTATGCCAATCTTGACTGCAAAAAAACCCACTTACAGACCAATTTGCCAACTGGGAAGAGTCCATTTATTGCAGACTGTGCTTCAAACACTAACTGCATTTATTCACCAATAACCAGGCTGTGACAGCTCCCCGAACTAGAACTATTTTAGGAAAGTTCTGACTCAGCACAGATGCTACTCAGAGATTTGGTATCTGAAAATCAAACTAAATACTCAGAGCACCTCCCAGAAAACTTACCCGGAGTGACAGCGAATGGTGTCTGAGGTGGGATTGAAAACTCTAGCCCTGGGGTCAGTCGGCCTGTGATGTACACAAGCCGACAGCTCCCACTGAGAGGGAGGCTGCAGCCTCTTTCTGGAGCAACCACAGTCAGCCACAACCAGAAGTCCCAAATGTGAGCTCTACATACACAGATTTTTTGCTACTAAAAGACCAGGACATGGCGTGGCCCAGTGGGATAGGAGACGCATGTGTGTACCGTGCACCAGCTGCTGTGCTCTTATGCACCGCAGTACAACCACTGAGGATGAGGCTGGTACTTCCGTCTAATGGCAAAGCAAGTCCAGGCCCAAAGAGCTTAATTTACTGATGCAAAATCAGAGAGGCAGCAGGTGGTGGAATGGGAGGGTCAGGGAAGACTGTAAGTGTCCACACGAAGTTGGACCTGCTTCTCTCACCCGTGTGACCATGCTGCACCTGTGGCCCATCCACAGGACTTCTGGGGAGTCCCTTGACTGGCCTTCCCCAGCTTTAAGGGACAAGAAGGCTGGGCTGACCTCTGGTCTCTTCCGGGTCTGCTCTCTGCTTCTGCATTCATCCCTGAGCTCTGTCCTGAGCAGCAGGATTAAGTTCTTTCCTAGATGCTCTGCGGGCACGCCTATGGGGGACCAGCTGCTCTCCTCCGCACCTTCTCTTGGAGCCTGAGGACAGCGGCAGAACGATAAGGGCCATAAGGGTCCCTGCAATTCCCCTTGGGTCAGGCAGGGCTCCCGCTGAGTTCTGGGGTCACCTTGCCTGCCAGCGGCAAGAGTGTCCAGGCAGCCACCAAGCGCCCCCCTTCTCCCCGCGGTGGAGGGAGGTTCTGCCGGCCCTGCCATCACTCGCACCACCCAGGCCAGTTTCAAGCCCACCCCCAGCTCGCAGGGTGGGAGCACGAGGACTGAGGATTCCCAACAGGTGGGCAGGTCAAGGTTATTGCGTTCATTCTGGCAACCTGTGCGTTTGGGCGCCTCGGGGCTTCTGCTTTGTCCCGGGACCGCGGAGACCGCCCCCCACGCCCACCCCGCACGCACCAGATATCGGGAGCCCGCGAGCCCTGCCTCCCGACCCCGCGGGCTCCCCGCCCGGGCTCCCGCCGCGCCGGTGCGCGATGCCAGCCCTCCCGGCTCCGCGCGCAGGTCCGCGAGCCGCCGCGACAGCGGGGACCAGCGGGGGACCAGCGCGCAGCCCGGCTCCCCGGCACCGCCTCCTTTGCAGCGGCGCGACTGCGCCCCCCTGCGCCCCCGGCTCCCCTCTGCTCTCGACGACGCCGCCCCAGCCCGGCCACGCGACCCTACCCATGGTGGCGGCTCTGCGACCAGCGAGCGAGGAGCCCAGGCGGGAGAACTTTTCTCAAGGTGTTGCTTCTCTGACTTTGTTTCCAGGCCCTGCCCAGCCACCTGTGCAGCTGGAGGTGGGCAGGCGGGGCGGCCGGGCTCCACCCGTGGAGGCGGTGGAACCGCAGGCGCAGAGGTCAGCGCCCCTTAGTCCCAGCAGGGGGACACCTGGCCCCGGCCAGCACCTGCTAGGCTGCTCCGCCCCAGGCCCTTGAGGGCGGGCGAGAAGCACAGCCGCAGGGCGGCGGAGCGGCGGGCCACCTGGGCCAGGACGCTCTCACCTGAGCGCGCACCTGGGCTTGTTAAAACGCAGGTTCCCAGGCCTCGCCCCGAATTTGCTGACTCAGGTCAGGGGGCCATCCGGGATTTGCATTTCTAAGGAGTGCCCAGGTGCTGCTGCCTGCCGCTGCAGCTGGGAGACCTCACTTCACTTGGGAAACCACTGTGCTGGGAAAACACTACTCTGTGGGGAAGCAAAACTGCGTGGGACATTGGTCAGTTTTATGTGTTGCATACATGTCCCTGTGGCTTTACCTGGAGTGTGAACTATCCAGAGCTTTTCTGGAGGATTCTACTTTCCCCTGAAGAGTAACAAGAACAAAAAATAATAATGCAGAATTATCTCCAAATCAATTTTCTGCTGCTTTGACTGACTTAGGGGAGGAGGGAATTGTGCTCTGCAAACACTGTGAGAAACAATAAAATAGGACACGAAGGCAAGTTTCTATTGCCTTTTTAAAAAATCATGGTAAAATACACATTACAAAATTTGTCATCTGAACTGTTAAGTGGCCCTACGTACATTCACAGCGTTGTGCAGCCGTCGCCACCGTCCATACCTGCAGAACTTCCCATCTCTCCAAACTGGAACTCGGCCCCCATTAGGCACTAACTCCCCATTCGGCCTCCCGCCAGCCCTGCCACCACTCTTCTACTCTCCGTCTCTGTCCCTGTCCTCTAGGTGCCTCAGAGATGTGCTGTCGCATGGGACTTGTCCTTTTGTGTCTGGCTTCTTTCATTTGCTGTAATGTCTTCAAGGTCCATCATGTTGGAGCACGTGTCAGAATTTCTTTGCATTTTCCTGATATTCTGCCGTATGTATGCACCATATTTTGTTCGTTTATTCATCTGCCTCTATTGCCTTTTGAGTCTTAGCAATGCCCCCAGCCACATTGCTCTGGAGACTGTTGTGAGGAAGGAGAAACTGAGGCAGGCTCTTCCCCAGACCTGCCCTTCTCAGGCTTTCTTTGTTGTGTATGAGGACACAGCTCTTCCAGTGGCGGCGTAAGTGATAAATACAGTGTAGTTACCGCAAGTAAAGGGACGGCCGTGCGTAGGAAGGTGAGCTTGCCCTGACGTCTGCACATGGTGGTCATCCTGCCTTTGGATCAGTGTGGGGAGGAAGGGGAAGCTGGTGGCAGTTTATTTTGATTAAAGTTTTCTCTGTGAGGTGGCATTTCTGTTGCTGAGCTCAGGAAGCTTGGAGTCCTGGGCCACTGTAAATGACCCTTTTTCTAGGCCAGTGGTTCTCAAAGTGTGGTCCCCGGACCAGCATCATGAGCACCACCTGGGAACTTGGGACAAATGCCAACTGTTGGGTTCCATACCAGATGTACTGAGTGAGAAACTGTGGATGGAGCTCAGCCGACTTTTCAATAGTGTGAGGCAAATACTCTTTCCTCCACATGTTTATTTAATCCTTCATTTGGCCATTATTTACTTATCACCTCCAAGTGTGAACTGCTTGACTAGTGATAGGCACTGGGCACCCTGTGCTCACAGAACTTACACTCTTTCTCTTTTCAAAGTGACAGGAAGGGGCACCTTATTCGTGACGGAGAAGCACAAATGCAAAACAAAAGCCAAGGAGAAGAGACAGCACTGCTGATCCTAAGTAGATTGCTGATCCCTAGAATCCACTGGAATTCCCAGGATGGGCTGGCCCTGGAGGCCAGGCGTTTCTCACAGATGCTCCTTGGCATGTGGTGTGGCCATTCAGGGGAATAAGAGATGCGGCAGCTTGCATGCCCTCGACCCTATCTCAAGAGAAACACTGCAGCAGCCGTCACTGAACTCCCTTCCCCTCAGCTCTGTGGGTCGGTTCCTGAGGCTACCATATAATTGCTACAAATCTGATAAATAACAGGGATTTATTCTCTTTCAGTTCTGGGGGCCACAGGTCCAAAATCAAGGACCTCTTGAATGTGCACTGATGGGGGGGGGCACCTTCCAAAGGCTTTAGGGGAGGGTCCTTCCCTGACTCGTCCAGCTCCAGGTGGTCCTTGGCTTCTGGCCACATCCCTCCAGTCCTCACATCTCCTCTGTCTTCTCTCCTCCTCTTATAAGGATACTTGTCACTGCAGTGCAGCACAGAGAAGGCAAATAGCGACTCTGTGGCATCTTTCTATACTGATGGACAGGGACTGCAATGGGTATGGGGGGTGACTTGATAATATGAGTAAATGTAGTAACCCCATTTTTTTTTTCATGTGAAACCTTCATAAGAGTGTATTATCAATGATACCTTAAAAAAAAAAGGAGACTTGTCATTGGATTTGGGGCCCACCCTAATCCAGCATGATCTCATCCAAGGCCCTTAACTTAATTCCACCTGTAAAGGCCTTTTTTTCCCAAATAAATTTGCATTCCCAGGCTCGAGGTGGACATACCTTTGGCAGAGGCACCATGGAGCCCACTACACTTCCCAAAGGGCTCCCAGTCTAGCATTTGTGTGTGTGGAATTAGCGAGCTGGTCCTGGAGACCTAGAACTGCTGCTGGGCCTCGGGGGAGGGGACTGTCCCTGTGGTAACTACTGGGGGGACAGGTGAATTTTAGTGGTGATACAGACATGAGCACAAAATGGTAGCAGTGAGAGTCCTCAAAACTAGACCTTCGTTACTGCCTCCTGACGCACCGGCACAGCGCAGCTGTCACAGCAGTCTGTCCTAGTGAAAGCGCTGCCTTGAAAAGGTGGCTTATGAACTTCCTGGAGTCTTAGAGGGTCATTTTCTCTACCTCTGTTCCTCAGATTGTTTGGCTGTAAAGACTTTTTAATTACATTTCAGAGGAAAATCGAGCAGAAGTTTTCCTATAAAGTAGGAAAAAAACAAAATGGAAATGCTAATGGTGAAGGGGTGGACTTTAGGAATAAACAACAAAAGTGGGCCCCATGGCCACCGATTTGAGAAGACAGATTCTGAGACATGGCCAGGGACGGGGGAAGGAGGAATCCGAAGCATGAAGGAATATTAAAGGTCCGATGAAAAGAGGTGCCTGCAGACGAGAACCAGCAGCGGGCCCAGATTCATTCAAATGCTGCCTGGATTCCCACCCCATGCCACTGCAGCTGGACTGGAGTGCCTTATACATGGCTGCTGAGAACCTGTTCTGCAGAAGCACCCTTTGGGTGATGTGGGTATAATTATAAGAAAATGATTTCCTCTTCTTGAACATGCCTTTCTTTAGAATGTTCCAAATTGACTTTAGCTGTATATATTTATATCTGATCAAACTCTTAAAGCAAGGGAATGATGGAGCCATGAAATCAGGGTGCGGGTGCCTTGGCTGTAGGTGCACAGCCCGGAGAGGGGCTGCAACATCCTGGTGTGGGGTTGGGAGGTGCGCTTATGTTGTTTGTTAATTAGAAAGAAAGGGCAATGACAACAACCACGTGGAATGTTCCTTGGGCATCTTCCATGGGGCAGGGTGGGCCCCTTCACATGGTTTCCAGGGCTTCACAGCTGGTCCGAGAGAATTGCTGGCTTGATGGCGTCACCCTGTATGACCGCGGGCAAGTCACCCTTCCTCCATTAGTTTCATTTTCCTCCCCTGTCAAAGAGAGATTTACCTTCTAATACTGGGTTTATTGTCTTTGCAAAGGATCCAAAGTAGAAGCTGATTATGGGGGAGGGATCATTGTCACCATTGGAAGGTAATATTTATGATCTGAATCATTATCACAGAGGCTCATGTTGTCTTGTTCCTGTCTGTGTCCCAGCTATAAGTTCAGTGTCTAGCTCATAGTAAATGCTCAACAAATATTTGTTGTGTAATAAACAGGTTCAATCTTATATATATCAATCTCTTACCACATCAAAAATACATATGTATGTATTTAAAAATTTTGTGTATTTATCCAGATACATATGATTTATAATATATACCCACTCAAAATAAGAATTTTTTTCTTTAATAAAAACCTTGGAAGATGAACTTCAATGACAGCCGTAATGTCAGCAGTCCATGGTGTTTGGAGGTGAGCGTGGAGGTGGTTTCTAGGCCCCTGGGTTAGACGCCTATTGGATTGATGGTATTCTCTGGAATCTTGAGGTGCAGTGGGGAGAAGATTGAGGTCAGGATCCAGCGTATCTGGGTTGACTGAGCTCCAGAAGGAATTAAATAGTTTGCAAATTCCTCAATATGGCGCATGGTGAAACTCTGGCCTCTGTGGTCATATTAGTCTTTTCTTTGGTAACAGTTTTATTAGGATGTAATTCACATTCCAGATGAGTTGTCCATTTAAAGCCATCACCACAATTCCAGAGCATTTTCATCACCCCACACCCATTAGCAGTCACCCTCCTCCCCGATTCCTAGGCAACAATTCTCGGCCCTCTGTTTCCTTAGATTTGCCAGTTCTGGACATTTCATAGAAATGGAATCATACAATATGTGGTCCTTTGTGTCTGGCTTCTTTCACTGAGTGTAATGTCTTCAAGGTCCATTCATGTTGTAGCATGTGTCAGAAAGTCCTTTCTTTTTCTTGCTGATTAGTATTCTGTGTATGGATATATAGCACTAGGTTTATGTGGAGTGGAACTGCTGGGTCATATGGTGACTCTAGTCAGTCATCTGAGGGACTGCCAGACTTTCCAAATCTTACATCCGCATCAGCAGCCTATGAGGGCCCCAGTTTCTCCACATCCTCACCAATACTCGCTATTATCTGTCCTTTTGATTACAGCCATCTCAGTGGGAGTGAAGTGATGTTACTTATTTTCAATATTAAAAATTTTTAATATATGTTTTAACATATTTACATAAAATTTTAACATATTTAATATATTTTAAAGTTAGTGGAAACATTTGAAATATTTCTTCACCATCTTTTCTTTAGAGTACAGCATGTACCTCCACTTCCCAAAACTGTAGTGAGAGTATGGCCACTGGTATGGGCAGAGTCACTGCTGGGCTGTGTCCTTGCTGGGCTAGAGGGC